GCGACTCGACGGCACATAACAACAACAACAACATTGTAGGACAAGGAGCTCTGGGAGAGCAGTGCAGAAAGGACTGGACTGTTAACCAAAAGGTCAGCAGTTCAAATCCACTCACTGCCCTTCAGCTCATAACAATTTACAGCCTTGGAAATCTCATGGAGGCATGACATGTACTCATCTTGACTGCAATGGGTTTATTTTGTGACGAGAGCCCTAGGGGACAAAACACATAGCTGCTATCCTCAAGTTCAGTGGTTCAAAACCACCAGCCACTTCTCAGGCAGTCTGCCTCTTCAAACACCTTTAAGCCCCTCTGGGAAAGTTTTGCTCTGTCCTGCAGGGTCACTATGAGTTGGCATCAACTCAAAGACAGGAAATGTGTCAGTTGACACTTCTTCCTATTCCACAGAGCCGGTGTTCCACAAACACTGATGGAGTCCCACTCATTTTACTGAGGAGAAAGCTAAGACACACAGAGGGAAGGAAAGGTACCCAAGATGACCTCCTGACCTCTTCCTCGGTCCTGACCATGCCCGATCCAAGCTCCCAGGTGGTAACCACAGCCGACCTTGTGACAGGACTGCTGTTGGCTGCTGTCAGAGCAGATTCTGACTCCATGACCCCACGTTTGCAGAGCAGAACTTCTCCACAGTTCCCAAGCTGTGCCCTTTCAGAAGCGAATCACCAGGCCTGTCTTCTGAGGCACCTTCTGAGACGTGTTCAAATTCCTAACCTTTGAAGTGCTTAACTGTTTGTGCCTCTCAAGGACTCCTCTGATGGTGCCCCAACGTTGTGCTATGCCAGGACAAGTCATGAGAATGACCAGGAGGTGAGGGTGTTCCCAGGAAAGGGGCAGGCTGGGGCTCCAGGGGCGGTGGCTCTGACGTGCAGACCACACCGAGAACTCCCACCCGGGCAGAATTAATTAACCACACATTCTGTCCAGCCGGCCTGAACTAGGCCCTCAGGGGAGAAAAAGGCAAAGTCATAGTGACCTTTATGAAAATTCCCTCTGGTTCCCCCAATCCCTCCCAGATCACCAGACTTCATAGTGGGAAGGACTTTAGATAAAACTTCTCGTATCTTGTTTCTGTACAGAAAAACCAGAGACTCAAAGAAGAAAAGTGGGCGTGCGCACACTGCCACTGGTCAATGCCCCACTCATGGGGACTCCATGAGAATTAGAAGTCTATTAGAATTGCCCTATAGGGTCTTCTTAGCTATAATCTTTGCAGAAGCAGGTCACCAGGTCTTTCTTTCATGGTGCTGTGGGGTGGTTTGAATTGCCAACCTTTAGGCTAGAAGTCAAATGTAATTCATTTTCACCACCCAGGGACCCTGCATGATCAGCAAACACAAAATATTAAATCACCTTCCCTGTCGTTCTGCAAGTGGCCCTGAAAGCGAGTGGGGCCAGACTGGCCACCACTATGGGAAAGGTTTCCCTGGCACCCTGTATCAGTAAGGCACACAGCCAAGGACAGCAGAGACGGGAGCCCAGACCAGGGGGAGTGACCGCCCCCCCTCCCCCCACCACCCAGGAAGGGTCCGCGGGCGCTGTCTCCACCCAGCACCGGGGGTGGGGTGCAGAAGCCGGCCTGGTTCGCCCCAAGCTGACCCAGGGTTGTAGGACGCTGCCAGAGACAACAGCTGGCCACAGCACTGGACACCCTATCCCAGCAAGGAGCCCAGGCACCCTGGGGCGGGGCAGGCGCGGGGCCCTGCCATTGGCTGGAGATTACAGGGGCGTGGAGGGGGCGTGGACAGGGGCGTGGACAGGGGCGTGGTGAGGGCGGGTCAGAGGTCTCCAGCGGTTCAGGAGGGAAGGGATTCTGTGCGGGTCAGGAGCCAAGAACCTGGCTGCAGAAGGGGCTGCAGAGGGGCGGGCAGGAGGGAGGGATCTGCTTCCCGGAGTTGTGAAATGTCCCTGGCTGGAATTAAAGGCGGCTGCTGGGGTGAGGGGAAATTCAGCCAAAAACATCCAGTTTGACCATCAGGCAGCCCGCTCAGCAGAAGATAAACAGTCTGAGGCCTGGCTGGCCGGAAAACACACACACACACTCATAAGCCCTTACTTAATACACACACATTTATAAGCCCTTAAAACTGTTACTCACATACTTATATGCTTACATTGCTGCTCTTAAAATAAACAGCACACACACACACAGTCATAAGCCCTTAAAACTCTGACTCACATACTTACATGCATACATTGCTGCTCTGACAATAAACAGCACACACACAAATTGCACATGCTTGAAGTCGTGCGGTGGAAGCCACATGAAAGTGGCGGGTCAAACGGAGCTCAGAGCTGAGCCCGCAGCTCCTAGGGTTCATGGTTCGGGCCCTGGTATTGGCTCAGGCAGCTGAGAGCTGAGCTAAGCCTGCAGCTTGTGGGGGTTCAAGGTTCGGCACCTGGTACTGGCTCATGGCAAATGCCCCCTCCAGCCCGATGCCCATACAGTCTCGAGCTGCACCCTCCTGGCACTATCACATGACCGGGCCCTACTTTGCTTTCAGCATTAGAACCACTGGGATCATTTCTTCTTCTGTTAGCTGAGCACCTGGTGCCCCACTCCCAAGTCCAACCTCACATCCACCCAGCGCTGTGCACTTGAGTCCTTCCCCCACTTGCATCCCTGCCCACCTCACGCCAAGTCCCACCTCGGGGTGGCTGTCATACTCACAGTGAGAGATGTGAATGTGAGGCAGATGCCACCAAAGCCATTCAGGGACAGTGCCAGGAATATCAGCGGAGACAGAACTAAGGGTGGGGAGAGAGACAGGTGAGGGAACTGGGGAAACCTCGGGCAGGATGTGGTCAATAAATGCCCCCCTTCACCCTCACCCGTTCTCTCACGGGGGAACAAACTGCTCACCTTCAAGGTCCCAAGAAGCTAGAGCCATGAGGGTGCAGGACGCAGCGAAGCAGGCACTGTAGGGAGTGAGAAAGGCAGAGAGGTTGATCCAGGAGTAGTTGGGGTCTCCCGCTCTGCCCAGCCCCCTCCCAGCCCTCCAGCCCCCATAGCCCAGCTCACCTGCCCAACAGTCTCATCGGCCGGGGTCCAAAGCGATCCATGAGGATTCCCAGGGGCAAGGTGGTGGCGCTGAGCACAAAGGACCCAACGGTGAAGCCCAGGTTGAGCATCTCATCCTGCTGGTCACAGCTCACCCAGCGGGGTTGGGCATCCTGGGTGGTGTTGGTAGTGTTCCCATCTGAGGAAGAGGAGGACAGGAAGGCACTTAGCACAGAAGGGCAGGGCAGCTGGGCACAGGGACAGACTCCAGATCTCATGCATCTGATTTACTGCCAACTCTTGTGGTCGAGTGGTAAGGAGTTGCACTGCCAACCCAAAGGCAAACAGTTCAAATCCACTAGCCACTCCTTGGGGGAAACAATGCACAGTCTCCTCTCCTGGGGTTTACAGCCTCTGAAAACCTGCTGGAAGGTCAACTCTGTTGATTCTGACTCAATGACAAATAACAACATCTGGTGTCTTAGGCGTGTCCTGGAGTCCCGCCTAGTCTGATTAGGAGTGGGCATCAATACATGGCTGATCCTGGAAGAGTCACACACACTCAATTTGACTAACTCAAATGTAGTCTTCATCAGCTGGCTGGTGCACATGGTTAACATGCTCTGAAGCCTCCAGAGGCACCTTGAGAGAAAGGCCTGGCAATCCACTTCCCAAGACACTAGCCACCGACAACATGAAGGGGCACGGCTGTACTCTGACCCATGTAGGGTCTCCACCAGCCAGAACTGACTTGAGGGCAATTGTTCTGGCTTAATATTGGCTCTATTTCCAAACGTAACAGGTACAGACCCCCAGCAGGAAGTACCTTCAAATCCGGGCACTGAGTGGTACGCTAGAGAGGCGACAAGAATTCACTTTAAATGTAGAGAAAACTCTCAGTAAATGACAGTCCTTAACCATTGACCACATTTGTTTGGTGTTTTGATTTCAAGGCACTGTTCTCAACAGTCAGTGTGTTAGCTCACAACTGCACTATCAGATAAAAAACAACAGCCGTGCATAACACCTCTGTTATAAAACAGGACAGACATGGGGGAAGGGAAGAATGGGAGGATGGGTGGTGAGACAGTGAACACTGCAACAGAACAGGTGAGGGGAAGAGCTGTCTGAAAAGGATATATGATCAGGCATTATGTGCTTGACAACAGTCTGGAATAAGGGGTGCAACTGTAGGGTGGGCTGGGAGGAGGGGGTGAAGAAAATGTGCAAGAATAAATTTTTAAAAAAACCACAACAAAATCAGCTCCAACAATAAAAAAGCTCCATTCTCCAGACCCTAAAACTGAGGTACTGATGGTATGGGTCTCTGATCGTCTTTAGATGTTCACATGGAGGATGGTCCTTGAGGCAAACTTCCACCTTTGAATTGCAACAAGTTTCCAAGAAAGCTTGCAGAAGGAGGGAGCTTTCACTTTATCGAGAGCTGTTGTTGGTGCTGTCGTGTTTGAGTACAACTCACAGTGACCCTACGACCAGCAGAACCAAACCCTGGCCCGGCCTGTGCCTTCTTATCATTCTCGGCACACTGAAGCCCACTGCTGCAGTCACTGTGTCAATCCTTCTGGATGAGGGTCCTCCTGTCTTTTGCTGACCCTCCACCTTTCCAAGCATGATGTCCCTTTTCAAGGAACAGCCTCTCCTAGCAGCATGCCTGAAGTATGTGAGGTGAAGCTCCACCATCCTTGCCTATAACAAGCACTCCAGTTGCACTTTCTCCAAGATACACCCTCATTAAATTTGTTCCTAGGCAGTTTTGCCAAGGGCAGGCCCGGAGACACAGTTGAGAGACAGAGACACACTTGGGAGAAGTCCCACCACCCTTCATACTACTTGTTTTAAAAAGGCCTTGAGAATGGAGGCTCAGTGGGGTTTGCCTGGTTGATGACAGCTGGCTTCTGCTCTCAGAGAGGTATGCTCCTGTCCTGGGCACACATGCATCCTTGCCCAAGTGGCTTCCTTGCTAACCTTCAGGCCTTTGTCTACAAGGAGCCACGCAGGGGAGGAGCTCCTGGGCAGCTGATGCAGGGAGGTGATGGCTTTCCACGAGAGGGGACCTCACAATGAGGAGGACAGAAAGCGTGCCCCACTCCTACCTGACCATGAACAAGGAAACAAACAGATGCCAACTGCAAGAGTGACAGGTGCCCATATGAAGGGGTAGGGAAAGGGCAGCATTTGGAAAAAAAAAAGAGCAAAGTTCAGAAAGTTGCAAGGGGCAGGGAAGAAGGCCAACAGGAAACAGGAAACCCAGAGAGGAAGTGGGAAGAGTGGGGTTACACTGGGGGACTGCAGGTAATGTCCTCCAACTAAATAGGTCTCAACTCTTCTCAGGAGGTGGGGTAGGAAAGAGATTTGTTCTGCACACATGTACCCAAACCTTAATAAACTCAAACTCTTTGCTCTTAAGTCAGAACCGGCTCACATCTGTCCCTGCACTGGTTTCCAAGGCTGTAAATGGAACGAGAGATTGCCCATCTTTTTCCTGAGAAGTCACGGGAGGATTCCAACCTCCAGAGAGGCACAGCTTTTGAGTGAGCAGCAAAATTCGCCAAGGACCACACAACATAGGCTCTCTAGGCCACAATAAAATGGTTTAGTGGTTGGGTTTGTTTGTTTTAAAGTCATAGGTACTCCAAGAGAACAAAGCAGGAGTGTCTTTGTGCCTGGGGGGAAGGGACATCTTTTCTGAGGCTCAGAAGCTGACAATGGCCTGGCTTTAAACGTCCCAAGGCAAGGGTGAACAGATCTGTGTGTGGATGTGTTACTCCAGAGAACTCTCAGAGACAAAATGCCAGCCAAGTCAGGAAAGGATTGCCGGGCAGGGGGCATTCCCACGGGTGCCAGCTCCCGCGATGGCAGAGAGGCTGTTCCGGCACCTGGAGGAGGCATTCTGGGGTTTAGATTATGCCAGCTTTGGAGGTCAGGCAGCCCTTGTACGCTCACGCTGGACAGTCACTGCTCACGTCTCCGTCAGTTCCAGGCATGGCAGCCCCTCAGAGGTACCCATCTAAGGCCCATCGCCAGCTGGGAGAGGGCATTTGGAAGGGAAAAGGAATTCTTTTATACCTGAGAGCAGCCCTCCTGGTCAAGGAAGGAGACTGGTGGCACAGAGGCCAAAGCATTCTTCTGTGAGCCTGAAGGTTTTGCAGCCTGAACCCAGCAGCTGGTCCTCGAGAGAAAGATGATAGACTGTGTGCATCAGGGTAGAATGGCAGCTTTGGGGACCTTGCGACAGTCCTACTTTGTGGCCTAGTCAAAAAAGCTGCACTGCAACTGCAAAGGCATGCGGTTCAAATCCACCACATGCTCCAAGGGAGGAGGGTGGACAATCTGATCACTGCCTCTGAAAAATCTGTCTGCTGGAGGTGCAGCTATGGGTCGGTTCCAACTCGATGGCACACAACAATGTGTCCTTGAGGGTTGTTATGAGTCAGAAGGGACAGGAGGGAGGTGGTTTGGTGTGGGTCAAGGCAGAGTGCCCTGCTGAGAGTTGTTATGAGAGAGGGAAAAAAGGGGGGGGGGAGGCGGGAATAGATTCTGAGCTCATTCTAGACTGTTCGATTCTCAACAGTGAAGCCAGGAAGGTGCAGCTGGGATTTTTCATGGAGGTTTAGAACAAGCTACCAAAAAAAAATATTAAAGAACTCGAGCCGATACGATGGTAACATTATCTAAGAGATGGGTGCCTGATGTTTGGACAGGAACACTATTCCAGTGCCTGGCACTGGCGTGGCTCTGCACCCCCTCTGCAGTGAACAAGTGGCCTTGGGTGCTGGTTCCTGAGAGCTGAACTCCACCTCCAAGCGGGAGCTGACTGGGCCTCACGGGGGCAGGAGGGGATCTACCACGGTCTCGCCTCCTACCGGGCCAAGACAGGCTGTGAGGATGGAGGCTCGATGGTGGGTCAAGGGCTGGTTTCTGCTCTCAGGAAGGTTCGCTCCTCCTCTGGGGATGTGGGAGCTTTGCCAGGAAACTTCTATCAGATCTCACCTTATATGTTTGTATCCTTTTCTCCTACAAGATTAAAGATGGTGTTGTTGTGAGTCATTCCAACAGACTGTAGGAACTGAGAAATACAGAAAGGGCTGGTACCTATGACCTAGCCCTGGGGTGAACTGGCTGGTGAAGGAAGCGGATCTCTCCCTGTCTCCAGGGCTCAGCTGGCAAGTGGAGTGGGATTTACAATCCACCACAATCTTGGCCTCAGGGTGGATGAGCTCAGCCTTCCTGGACTGGTTAGAGCCACTGGCACGGTCAATGGGACCTTCTTGAACTGCCCCTGACCACGCAGCCAGGTTAGTGTGTACTTCTTTCGCGTGCACGTATGGGGCATCTACTGTGTGCCAGACGCTGCGTGGGACAGCAGGCAAAGTGTGATGAAATGCAAAGATCTTCCCCTAAAGAAATCATAACCACCACCGAAGCAGATATATGCACACCCATGTTTACTGCAGCTTTGTTCACAATAGCAAAGAGTTGGAAATAGCCCAAGTGCCCACCAACAAACGAATGGATATAGAAGCTCTGGTATATTCACACAATGGAATACTATGCTGCATTGAAAAACAAGGAACTCAAGAAATAGTATGCAAAATGAATGACCCTGGAGAACATTATGATGAGTGAAATATCTCAGTCACAAAAGGACAAATACTGCATAGTGCCACTGTTGTAAAACAGGACTGACATCAGAGTTGAGGGAAGACAGAGAAGGAGGGGAGGAATGATGTATTCTGCATTGAAACAGATGAGGAAGAGAACTGTTCAAAATGGATATATGATTGGGTATTATTGTCATTACAGGAGTCCAGAATGAAAGCTGCACAGTGGAGTGGACTTGGGGGGAGGGATTGCATAACAACGAAAGTTTTTATATTACTGTTGAAGAAGACTGAATTGGGGGGAAGGGAATGGGCAGGGAGAAAAGTGCAATAATGAATGATTAGAAACCCTAAGCCTCTGTAAACTTTCATTAAAATTAATTTTAAGATAAATTTTAAAAAAAGAAATGCAAAGATAATTTAGACTAGTTGTTGTTGTTGTTATGTGCCATCTAGTTGCCTGCGACTCACAGAGACCCTAGGTACAACAGCCCTAAACCCTGCTCTGTCCTGTGCCAATCTTATAGTCTCTGACATACCCACCCCCATTACCCCAGTCACTGAGTCAATCCATCTA